GCGGCAGGGCTCGTGCGTGAGGGCCCGCGTGCGCGTGCGCCTACGCAACCTGCGTGGCAGAGCGGAGGCTATAAGTTGTCCGTGTGGGCCGCGTTTCTTGTTCTTGGCTGAGCACTTCGCCTTGTCTCCTGGTGGCCGTCTGGATCGTGACTTCACGCTCTCGTTGACTGACTTTCTTCCCGACTCCTGTACGACCAGCTGTTACAGCGAGCGGGCCACTCCCTCCCGGCCCTTCTGGAGGTGAGCGGACCCCTAGACTTCCCCAGGTCCCCGGGCTTCGTGCGGGTTGGGCCGCCTATTTCCCCGACTGTGGCTGCTCCTCCTGGAGCTTCCTCATCGATCCGTCCCCACCTGGGTCCGTCTTCAGCTGCCCCAGACCTACTTTCTCCACGGATAGCCCTAACCAGGATCCACGTGACCTACTCCATGCTTGGCAGTGCTGAGTTAGGCGTCCATGCCATGCCCTTCCCCCCGCACCCCCCAGGTGTTTTTAGTATCTACTTCTGTCACAACACTTGGCGTGTTGGTTGGGTTTGTGTTTTCTTGCCTGTCGCCTCTAGACTGTAAGCCCCAAGAGGACAGGGTTCATGTCTACAGGGCCCCATGTGGCCCTAGTACCTTTGAGCGTGCCTGACGCATTGTTGGTAAAGTATATTTATTAATAAATGAACTTAATGGATTTGACTCTTAGAATTATTTTGACTTTCAAAAAGTTTGATTAGCTGGAACCTGACAGATGTGAGGGAGACTTCCAGGCAAGTTGCTTTCTCAAGGCCACGTTCTTATATCCTCAATCCCCAAAGGACTTGGTCTTTACTTCGGAAAGGTTTCTGGTCCCTGGACTGTGGTATAGGGATCGATTGTGCATTGCACCTGGCAAGAGAAGTAAATTTTACTTAAAAAAAAGAAAAGTAAAAGTTTTAAGGCATGCTATTGAATTAGTCCAAGAACCAAGACTGGCTCTGCAGCCATGGGGTTTACAATGTAAATATACTTGAGCTTCTGTGGAAGAACATCCAGGCATCCCTGCCTCCCTGGCTGGCTGGCGTCTCCCTTAGCTTTATGGGGAGACAGAAGGGTCAGGGCCAGATCATGCATATCCCAAAGGCTGTAGACTAACCTTGCCTGTCTTTCCTCAGGATCCAGAGTCCTGCCAGAGGCAGAAGGCAGCTCTGCTGTTCTACAAAGTGGGATCCTTTCAGCCATGAAGCATATATTGAACCTCTATCTCTTAGGTGTGATGCTGACCCTGGTCTCCGTCTTCATCAGACTTGTGGAGTTAGTGGAGGGCTTACTGGAGAGCCCATCGGCCTGGAGCTCTTGGACCACCAGAGGTCAACTAGCCAGCATAGAGCCCCCAAGGGCCTTCCAAAACATCCATCCAGAAGAGTGTGATAAGACCTCCCTCCACCGGCTATAACCTTGGAACACTGGCCTAACCCTGTCCAACCTGGGCAGGCGAAATCAGCATCAGTGTTACCAGAACTATTACTAGATCTTGAAGATCCCCCTCCATCTGGATGCTTCTTGCTGGGGAAAAGAGCCTGTTTAGAACACATGTGTGACTGGGTTGTGTGTGGCTGTGGGATGGATGGAGTGATCTCACTCTTTTCCCCAGAGTCTGTTGTACTCTTTGCTGTCCTTGGCATGGTGGCTCTGACATCTTTTTAGAAGAAGGCTCTTTGCATCTTCCGCCGTTGGGAGATGATGGTGTTTTTAGCCGTACTTCCTAAACATCTGCCAAGAGTTCTTTTGGACTTGAGTGTCTTATGTTCAGTTTCTTTGGTGTTCGGCTTTTTCACCTGAGCTCCTCAGGGTGTGGGTAAGAATTGAGGTGTATGGGTTGGCCTTAGGGAGGGTGAAGATAAGAATATTCAGTGTCCAGTTCTCTTCGTTTTATATTTTTAAGTCCTTCCTCCAACATATGTGTATGTATATGTGTATGTATTGGCAGTGGGATGACAATGCCTGCTTGAGACATAGACATAGCCACCATGTGGCTTAAGTGAATTTTTCTAATGAAGTAAAGTTGATATATTTCCACTACGTGTCATGTTGCCTTCTGCATTTGAAATTAGTGGTTAGGGAACAGTCTTAATTCGTAGATCCGAGGTTAACATTTTAAAACTTTGGAGCGGAAAGCGCTTAAAACACTGTGTTTAAAACATGAGGCAAATGAACCTCTGAATTTGGAAGCAGGGGCATTTGTGTCTCTCCTGTATCTACTGGTTGCCAGCCTATGTCAAGACCATTACAATCCTCTCTTGACTCTGTCCATCTCTAAAGAAAAAACTGATTTATGCTTTCAGCCCCCTCACCTTCATTCTGGGGGAAAGAGGACTGTCAGTCTAGTAGGCCTTGTCTTTTCTCTTCTGTACTCTTATTTATCCACCAGAATCACTACTCAGTTCCGATTGTTCTCCAGATCAGCTAGTGAAATGTATATACCTCACAGATTGTTTCTGATTTTTCCCAGATGTAAGCAGCTTGCCCTTTCTATAAAAATAGAGGTTTTTTTTTTTTTTTTTTTTTTTTTTATATCCACCACTTCCCCACTCCCTACTGCATGCTGAAGTATATTCACTCCTCTGCTTGTTAATACAGGCAAACCTCAGATACAGCGGGTTGGATTCCAGACCACTGCAATATCACAATTATGAATATCACATGAATTTTTTTGGTTTCCCAGTGCATGTAAAAGATGCTTACACTATGCTGTAGTCTATTAAGTGCAATAGCATTGTCTAAAAAACATTATTTAAATATTGGTAGAAAATGAGCTCTCATCCAATTGTAATCTTTTTGCTGATTTTAAGAGGCTCTTGCCTCACTGTTGATGAAACTTGATATCTGCAAAGTGCAATAAAATGAGGTATGCCTGTATATTTGCACTCTCGTCTTGGTGTGCATATCATTGTATGGCGACTTTATTTTTGCAAAGAGTAAGAATGGAGCATGATGTCCTCCGCCAAGCTAGTTTTGCTTTCTGAGTGTTAAGTGCCACTACCCTAGAAGCCAGAGGTTTAGGTGACACTTTTATTTCTTGTCCTTTGGTATTTATGTCTGTTTATCAAGTATTTCCAACTTCCAACCTTCTGTCTCTGGTCATTTGTGGTCAGCTGGACTTATGTGACTCATCTTTTGGTAGTATAGTACTCAAAAATGTAGTTGGTTTTTTTATCTCTGATTTCAGGCAGTTTCATGTGCCAGTAAGCTGTCCTTTTCTAGATGTATTTAAGTTTGATATATTTCCTCATTCAGATGCTTGTCTGACTAAATTGAGGTATTTTGAACTTTTCAGCTGGAGAACTGCACCTTAAGTTCTCCAGTTTTACCAAACACTCTGCCACTCTATAATATGGGTTGCCATCCAGCCTCCAGTAAGATCTCTATGCTGCCTTCCAAATAAGTCAACGTTGCACAGACTATGGTTTTTTAGTTTTTTAAAATGCGCAACACTGGCCCCTAGATTCCGATCTCCATTACCAGTCAAGGACACATTGTTAGGTTACACTGCAGCAACAACCCTAAAATCTCAGTGGCTTAAAACAGTTACTGAAGGATGCCCTCCCAGGAAGCAGTATGGGGCCTATTCAATGGAATTCTCTTTGACCATCATACCTGCTTGGTGGAATAGCATCATCACTGGCATGCTGTGTCTCCCATTCTTCCTCCCTTATTACATTTATCCTGTCCACCATTATATATTTGATATGTGGGGGCACATGGCTTGTCTTTTTAATTTATAGATCTCCACCTCAAGCCATATCTGAAACTGATATAGCAACTATTGTGCATCACTCAGAGGTTCTTGAATTTGAACTTGATGTGGCTAAAGAGAATTCTTGTGTTGTCTCCTTTGGGGAAGGTGTAGTGAATGTATTCCACCTGTAGGAGGGATGGTGAGCTGAATGATTATTGATTAGAAGGTCATTAATGGTAGTTGTTAATTTACTCCAAATAGTTCTGCCCTTGCCTTCCAGGCATGTGATAGAATTGCACTTCTTGACAGGTTTGCAGTTAGATGAGGCCGTGAATTAGTTCTGGCCAGTGAGTTGTCAGTAGAAGTGACTTATGTCAATTCTTGGTTGGAGCATTTACACACTGGTGGAAAAACCTCTAAAACCCCTTTTTCTTTCACCGCGGTGAGCAGCAGTGCTCCAAATGGAACTGTTCCATTAGTGTAGGTCCTGGAGTAGGCATGCTATGGAGCCTACTGATCAACTGATCCCTGATGAACGTGCAGAGAAATAAACCTTTGTTGTGTTAAGGTTTGGGGTCTTTTGTTACTGCAGCATAACTTGGCCTATCCTGACTGGCACATTGCTTACAGTACCTTCTTGGTGTCAGGCATCGACTAAGATCTCATAACTATCTCGGATAATATACATAAGAATGTAGGAGGAGAAGCATATAAACAAATAATGTTTCATTGTTTTGTTATAGAAAGATGTGTACAGGACAGTGGGTACAAAGTTATTTGTGGGCAGGAGGTGGATGTTAAGGAAAAGCTTCTTAGAGGATCTGAATTTTTAAAAATTAATAGGTGGCTAAGTTAGGAAAGAGTTTCCCAGTGGAGCAAACAGCAAGCAAGGACATGGAGATGAACCTACGCAGAGCATCTTTAAAAACTCCAAGTATGATTTTTAAATCCCTATCGATTTTAGCTTGAGGCCTTAACTCTGGTGCCATCTTTTCATTTTACTACAGAGGAAGCAGAAGGAAACTCAGTGACTTGAAAATATCATTGAACTAATCAGCTGTTGATTCCCAGTATTCAGCCCTTTCTTCAACATGATTTTTCTTTTTCCAGGATCCTTCAAAATGCAGCATAACAAAATATATCAATAATGAGCCCTTTCACCCCCAAGGTATTTCTTATGTGGGCACAAGTCACACAGAGACAATCTGTGAGAGGCTTCACTGTGAGGGGGAAGATCGAAGGCTGTGGATATCCCAAGAGCCTTCCTTGCTCTTCTAGCCAGCTCAGTGCTGTCTCGGCATAACCTTGGGAGAGTCATTTTCTTAATGTTTATGGGTGAGATTGAGTGAAAAAATGAAATAGGCTTCATACCTGCTGGTTTTTAGAGAGTAGAAAAGGAAGAGAAAAGCTTTGCTCCTCTCTAACTCTCTAATCCTTTCTTTCCTCTTCTTTTTTTCCTTTCCTGTTGTTGCCATCACCTTCCTTGATGTCACTCCTGCCATTGTGAGCCGGCGGGCCCTCCCCTGCCTGGACAGCCCATCAGTCAGGAGGGGAGGTGGAGCTGTGGAGGCCGGGGGGCCAGTGGTCACACCAACACCTTGGAGTTGGGCTGGGTCTACGTGGAGCCCCAGAGATGTTCCCCAGCCCATTCTTCCTAAGAACCAATGAGTAAAATTAGGGGCCTCCCACCTGAGGTCAGGGAACCAGGCCCTGGAGTGGAACTTGGGGTGGAAGATGGCCTTCTTTGTAAACTGATTCATTCTCCAGAATTCAACTTGTTCTCTGACTCGGCAGTGTTTGAAAGCAACTTTATCCAGGTACCCTTGGGCAGCTCGGAGCCATCTCT